AGCCAGTTTTTTACCCAGCGAAGAGTGTGAACCCAACCTGAGAGGCAGCATAGTCCATTTACTTTGGAGACATGTAAATGCTTTCCCAAATATTGGCAAATTCCCAAATGCAGACAAATGATTCAGCACTTGAGAATGAAGGAATTCTTATAGGCAGCTGTTGGATTAAATTTTCACACACAGACACACACGGGAACACACAATGAAAATGATTTAGGAGCCAAGGTAGTGCATGCTCAGGTAACAGGAATTCAAGCATAGTATTTTCAATTCTCTTTTTCAGAATTTTAGCAGTCTTAGTCCCACGGATTTCTTACAAAAGACTTGTTAGGCACCTCAATTTCTAAGTCACATTTGTAAATGGGACATGAGTGATTTTGAAGACTTTATACATTATCAGTATCTTCTGGACAATATGAATACAAGCATACTGTAAAAATATAAAAGGATAACAATATTTTGTTGTCATTCTAACTCTTTCACATGCTATGTTTTAAAGGTAGAGGAAATAGTGTTATAGTGTAATTTAATCACCCTCAGCTATTTCATATTACTATCTCAAATATCAACAACTTTTATAATAAATTCAATGGAAAATACCATTGAGATATCACCTTATTAAATTAATGTTTCATACAAAGTATTTTAATTTTAAATAAAATTAAATAATAAATTATAATTGTCGAAAAAAGATGGCTTGAGACAGAGTATACTTGAACCATAATTCCACAATAAAACTTGTATTTTAAAAATGTACTTGAGTGGCAAGCTTAAATCAGAAGCCTAATTTTGCATTCTATCACGTCACTGTTTCACTGAACATTTTAAGAGGCAAGGTGTTAGACTAATTCCATCCTCTCCAAGTCTCTCTTAAAAGGTTTTAATCTATAATTACAAAGTAAAGTTATTTTCATTATACATCTCATATGTACAGCTTGCATGAACTATTCAATTCCACTGCATTAAATCTTTTGGCGATTGATAGAAACTTAACTGGATGTCCCTTTCAGAAAAATGCAACTGCGACAACCCTTTTGGTGGCTCTGACTTGTGTTTGGAGATCAAACTGAATGTAGATAACATAAAGTCAGTGTTGGGCAAAGAGACAGACTATTATTTTCTCATTAAAAAAAGGACAATAACAGGTTTTTGATGAGGCTTTGCTGATTGTTAGGAACTCCGATAACACAGTAATGCATTCCAAGCAAGTGAGATAAATAAAATTCAAATTTTAGGTGAAGTTAAGCTATTTAAAATTAAAACACACAAGAAGTCTGGCATGTGGCATAGTTTTCTAAATCTTGTCCATTTGTCTACACTGCTTAACCTTGTCCATGTCTAAAATCACAGCTGTTAGCTAGGTTGTCAGATGAACATACTTGCTAAAGCAAGACACAACTTCTGCATATGTGTTTGTAGCAATACAGATTTTGACAGATTTATGCCTAAACTCTGTATAAATCCCTGGAGGAAACTGAAAAATTATTTGCTTTCCAGAGCATAACTAACTGCACTGGGTTGCATAATAGTAATGGGTCTGCCATCCACTTTTCTGGAATAATCATACCAGAAGCAGAGGATTCTTAATTTTTAAACTTCAGCACTCTTAAAGCTTTTTGGAAATTGCTTTCAAAAAGTATGCTCCTGCAACATAAACTTCCAAAACCACTTCCAGCTCAAACCTATTTTCCCAGCTGAATTTCTTCTAAAATCCCACTATACTATAAAGTATTATCCAAACTAGCATGAACAATTTTTTGAATCTTTAGGAAAGTTGCACAGTCTCTGAGTTTCCTTGGCTCTTCTTTTGATGCCATGAAACCTATACTAAGTTTGTACCTGTATTCATCAGGCACTAGGATTTAGTTGCTTAAATACAGCATCTTAAATACACCATTTCAAATATTCTGTGGTATACTAGATGGCTCCTCACAAGTCCAGAACAGAACAGATCTCCAATACTTTTTCTGCCAACACCATGGGAATGGCCTGGCATGGGGTGTCTGAAGTTCTTGGACACCTGCCTTTAAGAACTTGAACCTCATCCGAGTTATGGTCCCTTCTAATCTGTCAGTATCAGATGAGCTGCTGTGAAATCTTTCAGGTTTTCAGACCCTCAGGCTGTCCCTAAAGAACTAAAGAAATTTTTCATTCATTGAATTAATATCAAAATCTTCATCAATAAGGATTTTAAAACGTTGACTGGGCTTCTGAGTAGGAGCATGTAGCATTTGTTCAAAGAGAAAGAGAAGTAGGTATAAGGAACAATGCTTTTTCCTTCCTGTACATCTATTTTTAATTCAAAATGTTGTTCCTCTATTACTTGAAACTCACCCGAAACACAGAGTGGAAAGATAGGAGATGACACTATATTAGCATCCTTTTGAAAATGGAAATGTTTCAAAAAGGGTTTGGTGGTTTTTTCCACAGTTGAAATAATGTTCTTGAAAAGATTTTTTTTCTATCAGACTTAAAATCAGCAAAATTCCTTTGGGAACTGCTGGTTTTTTATCTGTGTAAAAGTAGAACAGCAGCACTTGACATATAGATAGAATTCATTATCATAAGCGCAGACACAATACAGTAATAGATATATATACAGATGATTGCTAAGAGATAAATGTTTCTATGCATGTATGTGATAATCCACAAATAAATGCATTTATGACTCATATGTATGTATTTCATACTTAGAGACATCTCTATTTATGGATTAGAAGAGAATGGATTAGATTCAGGAACTTACATGAATACATACATATACAATACTTACACGAATTACATCAAAATAAGAAAATGAAAATAAATTTAGACTTTTTATCTTTACCTAGCATTTAATATTTTCCATTTTTCTCTGAAAAACTTCCAAGCAAGATCCCTTCCATGTGGATTTCGAGCTACATGGATTATCACATCAATTGCATCCTGATCCAGGACAACTTCTGAGTTGAGAGACAAATTCAAAAGCCTAGTGGGAGAAACAAGGAAAAAAAGTCCTATTTAGATTCACCAACACATAGTCCAAAAACAGCACATCAGAAAATTCTCAGAAAAAAAAAAAATCACTGCCAAATGGTTAGTTTAAGTTTCCAAGTGAGTTCAGTGGTTTATTTCTGTGATTCCAAAGACCAGACACATTTATGAATCAGAAAAGTCTTGATGTAAAAGGATTTCAGTAAAAGCTGAATGGAACTTTACATGTGCATTTTTATGAAATCAGTAAGATCAGACCGGTCAATATATTTAAATAAAGGATATGCTAATAAAAAAATAACAGCAATTATTATAAGATTTCAAACATTTCCAATTAACATAGGAAAATTTGGAAGTGAAAAGACAAAATATGTGTCACTTTTCATATGCATTAATGCAAAAACATAAGACAGTTTAAACAGACAGTAAGCCTGTGCTTGAAAAGCAAAGTTCTTTCATTTAGACCAAAGCTGAAGTGATGATCCACAAATGTTGAAGTGATTATTGGTAATAGTCAGATACAGATATATAATATTTTTGTACCTGTTAAGCAAGTTTCTGTCATCACTGCAAGTTAAAGCTTCTAATAATATTTTCTTCTCAGACACTGCTGTGGTAGAATGAAATTTCATCCAAATGAACTCCCATACATCTTCATCCATCAGTGAAACTCCTGTACAGTAGACAATGTCTCTCACATTGAGTGGAATGCTACAAAAGAAATCAGTAATACCATTGTGGTAAATAAGCAGCCTCCTGATACTCGAAACAAAGGAGGAACATCACTACATTTATGAGACTCCAAAATTAAAGTGCAACAGTAATCTTTTCTTGGAAAACTATATTTGCATCTCTTCACTGTCCCCAAAATCTTCCAGGCCATCCTAATGGATTTTCTAATGGGTAACACATGCTTGCCATTCTTTTCGTAACACTGTCACGTTGTCAGGGGACTATAAATTATGGTCATCCAGTTCATCAACACATAATGTACCACATAAACTGCAGGACAAGTAACATAAACTCTCCAAATTAGCACAGGATCTTATCACTCTGTTGCTGGGCTCTAAGCCAAATCTCCTCTTCTTGTCCTTAGTGCTGAGGTTTCAGAACGGGAGCTCATCAGCCAGAAACTCCCCCTTGCTTGTGCTGTAAAGTGCTCCATCTTCAGACAGTAACATACAAGTAAGGAAGGATGCGCTGAGACAATGCTACCTAAAAATGGTGTTTTCAGGAGTAAAGAAAATAGCAAGATCTGTTCATTTTTTCAGCGTATTAATACTAGTACAAAACCAGCTATGCCATAGGATGGTTGTGAACTGTGATTACTGCTCAAGTAATATAAACTCAGACTACAGTTAAATGAAAGCTTCTTCAAGCCAAATTCAGACCTAGTATAGGATGTGCATATGTACCATTTTCTTCGAAAAAGATCTCAGTTGGGCTTTCAATTTCCTACCCTGCTTATGTTTCCTATACAAGCATAGAAGCCGAAACATTTATGACCTAAAGGGTATTCCTGCAGATAAAGCTAGATATTTCTCAGAGGAATACGCTTCTGATTTGCAGGAAAGAACGCCCTCTTCTTGTTGGTAAAAATTATACCAAAACACGGTTCTCTAGTTACTAATAACTGTGCCGAAACGCCTCTGGAACTTCATATGCAAGACCTATTAAGAGAATCTAGAAGTACATACAGCTGCTGTCAGTGCCTGGGCAGTAATACAGTGGAACAAAGAATGAAATTACCTCTGTAAAATTTGATATCAAATCTTACACAACACAGAAAGAAAAGGTTACATCAAGACTTTAATTATAAGACTTTCTCCAAAGTCTTATACCATAGACTGGGCGATCCCAGTCAAGAACCAAAGAGGTTCTTTTACTCCCATCTATTCGTTCCTAGAAAAAAATGTTTCTTCCACTGAAATTTTTTATTGTCAGGCTCTGTGATGAGTGTTTTTGTAAAAAAAACTTTGGCCATGTCTGAGTCCCTGGAAAATGAAACCAGTGTGGCTTTTTAGCATTTCAAAGTTTTGGTTCCTCTTCAGTATTTCAGGCAAGGTAGGAAACCATATATTGACGACTGTGAAGGGTTAAAAACTGTTGTTGCCTCTATGAGGTTAGCTGGTCCCAACCGCTATGATGGTTTCTTGAGAAAAAGAATAAAAGGAATATGTAGCTAAACTAAAGCAAAACTGGAAAAAAAAAGTGCACTCCTCCTCCTGCTGGCTGAAGGACTTTGGGGAATTAATGCCTACTGCTTTTTTGTTATGCTTTTTTCTGAGTCGTACAAAAGTCCTGATGTTGAGGCTTTATTCACATTCTCTGGCAAGCGTAGTCATCAGCTCAGAGGGGGTGTCTGCAGGTTTAGATGAATTCTGCTTCTGCTGAGCTGCCATGGCTCAGGATAGTGCTGCTTCTTGGAGCGTTTTTAGCAAAGTCCCATGCTAAAAGAGCCACAAAGGGCTGTCTTGACTAGTGCTGAGGTATTTTGCATTTGATGCAGACAAGCCCAGACATTTATTCAGGAGTAAACTCTCCAAAGCAAAACTGAAAGGGTAGGCAAGAAAAATGTAATCCATTTTAAAGTTGCTAGGAATATGAAACTTTTAACTATGCGCAGCACACTCCAGCAATATTGCCTTCTAAAGCAAAATCAGAGGTGCAATGTCTCATCTCTGCCAGGAACTGCTACCATCTAGTTAGTGTAGATTGGTGCTACAGCGCAGATCTTGGCATGGTTCAAGATCTTATTGTTTCCTCTCCTCCCACCACCAAATCACTGCGTGAGAACATGCCCATCCTGAGCCGTGCCAGGCAATCAGCATTGCTATGGTTATGACCACATAGCTCAAGCAATTCTTACAGGTCACCAACACATAGATGGGACCTCCAAAAAATGCAGGTTCCGCAGTTACTCCCCCTTGATGCTTCCTTGCATCTTCTTAGATTTTTTTCTTTGATCTTGTGATGCCCCAAAAAGCTTGGCTCGCACTGAAAGAAGTTAGTAACTTTCCTCAGATCTATCCAGACCAGTTGGTCTTATGGATGGTCTATGCAATTGCTTCCATGGTCCCTACAGAAGTGCTAAGCCAAGACCAAGGAAACCAGAAAATTCTTAAAGCTGACCAGATCTATTAAAAG